TATCATGCATCAATGGGTGTAAAGATCTTTAACATTTCACTTTTATAAGTTAAAAAGTATTTGTTGCAGTATGAGACATGACACAAGTGAAAAGGTAACTTTTTTTCAAAAGTTATTGTCAATTAGTACTTTTGACAGCCTAACACTCGTTTTGAGGGGCCATTCTGATATGTATTTTAATGTCTTGTTCTAATGGCCTACTCCAAACTTATATATGTCATAAACAGACCTTGTTACAACAAAAGTGTTATGATCATTATGAGGTTGTTGTTTATTTGGTCAGTGATTTATCCTTGGTATAGAATTTGTCATGATATTTCATTTAGAAGTCTTCACAAAGATATGTATCATCATTTTTCATGCAATGGATAAGAAAAAGTCTTCAATTGATGCACAGATAATGATATTACCAATCATTATGACATTCCTTTTATTGATGGTTGATTCTTACTCTAACAATACTTGATTCATCATTTTGATGTAATAGCTATGTTAACTTTATTATGATGTATCTTATTAACCTTGATTGTTTTCATAAGTGATCATTATTATTATTTTTATTTAAATAATCTTTATGAGATTTTTTTTTCTTCACACGAGAGGTTTCCATTATAAACTTGTGCTCTAATATGTTTATTATAAGATTATCTACTGAAACACTTAGTAGAATTATTAGTTAAATAACATTTCATAATTCTTATGACTTGCATATATAATCATTTGTTATAATTAAAACCAATGGAAGTTTGGATTCAACAACTTTAACATTATTAAAAATAAACTAATTCACTAAAAATAATAGTTTTCTATTCAATTGGACCTATGATTCTTTCCTTTAGGCTTAGTTTATGTTATTGCTATTAGGTTGTCGTTTAGGCTAATACTAACACAAACCAAATTATTTGAGTTTAAATATTAGTGTACTATCCGTACCGTCTTACCGAGCTCGAGCTCGGCATCACAGCGCAAGACGACCTCAGATACGCACTGGGCGACCTCGGCCAAGACGAGGTCCGCTATCCAATTAAGTCATAACTGATCTCGGGCCCAATACCCAGAAAAACCCTAATTCACACCCAGGTACGTGCATTATTTATACGAGACTCACACTCATACAAACCCTAACTTTAGCATCGGAGTCTCTTTTGCAGGTACCACCTCCATCTTGGAGCACCAGCGTACCCGTGAAGGAGGCTCACCGATCTTACCTGGCGGATCAGCTCTACGGTAGATTTCTGGTAAGAACATTTGGCGCCCATCGTGGGGCCGATCAAGACGGCTCTTATCGGCCACCCCATAGCAGACGAGCAACAAACGACGCTGATCACGCGACAAGCATGGGTGACGCAGCATCATTGAGAAGACTGATAGAACAGGTCGAGCAGATGCGGCAACAACACGACGCCGATCTGCGAAACATGCGTGCCAAGCACGAAACTGACCTAGCGGCGCTACGCACCGCTAACAAAGCTAACCTAGCGGCGCTGCGCCGAGAATGAACGTATTCGCGCCCAGCTTCCTCGGTGCCCAGCTTCCTCGGCGCCCTTCTGATCAACCCCCTCCATCGAATAACCAACACGAGGAAGAGGGGCACTCAGTCTCTCAACCCCCAACCGCGCCTAGGGCACCCACTCCCCGACCTGTCACACATCGATCTCACGCACCGACGAACAGGTCAGCCCACGAGGTCAGCAATGCTCCTGCCCACGTCACGGGAAATCAAGCGACCTTCTGCCGTCATCCTTTTGTGGATGGCATCATGGAAACGCCTCTCCCTTTCGGATGGAAGCCTCTCCACATCGACCGTTACGATGACACGACAGACCTAGACGAGCACGTCGATATGTACATTACACAGGTAAACCTATACACTAATAAAGATGTTATTCTGTGTAGGGTTTTCCCAACCTCGCTCAAGGGGGCAGCGCTCAACTGGTACACTCAACTGCCGGTGGAGTCAATAGACAACTTCGACACTCTGGTAAGGCGATTCACGACGCAATATGCCACGAGTCGACCTCACCATGTCACATCAGCCGCCTTGGCCAGTCTCAGACAGGACAACGACGAATCACTAAGGGCGTTCATGGAACGCTTTGCCAATATCTCGGTTAAGATTCGAAAATTGAACCCCGAGGTCGCCCTACACGCCATGATCATGGCGCTCAAGCCTGGACCTTTCGTGGACAGCCTGTGTCTACGATCTCCTCTTGATATGGACGAACTCTGTGCCCGAGCTGCAGGGTACATTCAGATGGAAGAACACTCTACTTTTCGTGACCAGGTTCGCAACAAACCATAAGGAAAGCAAGACCAAGGTCAAGCCACAAACATTTAAAGTTGGCGACCTTGTTTGGTGGGGTGAGAGATGCAAGAACAGAGCCCTCCAAAGGAAAATTTGGAACTTGGAATTCCACCCACCTCAAATTTTATTTCTCTTAACTTGTAAATTCAGGTGATGTACTCTTTTTCCTCCTCAGCCTTTCTTCCCACTAAAGGAAAGGGTTTTTGGCCAAAGAAGGTTTTAACGAGGCACACCTCAGAAATAAATCAATAAAGCAACTCCATTCCCATACATTTTCGGTATTGGCACATTAACCCCGAACCTTGAGACTACATTTTCTTAACCAAGGTCGAGTTCGAACCTTGTTATGCCAAGGTCGAGTCCGAACCTTGAGACTACATTTTCTTAACCAAGGTCGAGTTCGAACCTTGTTATGCCAAGGTCGAGTCTGAACCTTGAGACTACATTTTCTTAACCAAGGTCGAGTTCGAACCTTGTTATGTCGAGGTCGAGTCCAAACCTTGAGATCACATTTTCTTAACCAAGGTTGAGTTCGAACTTTGTTATGCCAAGGTCGAGTCCGAACCTTGAGACTACATTTCCTTAACCAAGGTCGAGTTCGAACCTTGTTATGCCAAGGTCGAGTCCGAACCTTGAGATCACATTTTCTTAACCAAGGTCAAGCTCGACCCTTAAAGATCACATCTACTTAACAAGGTCAAATTTGAACCTTCAAACAAAAAATTTGGGAGCTCCTCAAAAGCTCCTTCGCTCTTACATCACTCGGTGCTTGGGGGGCAAGTGTACTGGCCAGTCGAGTTGTCGACTTGTCCATCACCAATCGATTGACTCGGTCAAAGGTTTACCAGTCTGACCAAGTAGTAAACTCATTATTGTCGATTTCCTCAACTCGGCCACGAAACATGGACATCGAAATACCACATCAGCCAAAGAGGCCACGTCATCAAACAGCTAAAAATGCAATCTTGTCACCACGCTGCAATCACAAGGCAGGCGTACGCGAAAGGTCACAGCCCTTGACGAGCTCGGTCTCAACTCCTCGACCTACGGTCTTCGGAGCTCGGGGGGCTAGTGTACTATCCGTACCGTCTTACCGAGCTCGAGCTCGGCATCACAGCGCAAGACGACCTCGGATAAGCACTGGGCGACCTCGGCCAAGACGAGGTCCGCTATCCAATTAGGTCATAACTGATCTCGGGCCCAAGGCCCAGAAAAACCCTAATTCACACCCAGATACGTGCATTATTTATACGAGATTCACACTCATACAAACCCTAACTTTAGCATCGGAGTCTCTTTTGCAGGTATCACCCCCATCTTGGAGCACCGCGTATCCGTGAAGGAGGCTCACCGATCTTACCTGGCGGATCAGCTCTACGGCAGATTTTCGATAAGAACAATTAGTAATGTTGAATTATATATGCCTAAATTAGTCTTCAATCATGGTTAATTATATATTTTAGAATTAAAAACAAATAAATGTTGATAAATTTAATGCAAACACAAGAGAAACAACTTTAAACACTATTATTAATATTATCATTAAAAAAATCATACAAAAAGTGAAATAAACAAGAGTGTTGAAATTTATTTATTAATATTTTTTTAAGAAAATAATTATTTCAACTTTTACATAGTTGTTATAATTTATTCACTAGTCCATTTACTTTATCCATGAGAAAAACAATTAAACATTTATTTTCATAATATATTCAAACACTGCAAAGATTTTTTTTTATTTTTATACTTTCGGTTAATGAAAAGATAATATAAAAATTTAATGTACAAATTAACTTTGCTTAACAATAATTAATTCATTATAATAATTTTATATAATAATAATAAGAAGTAGTTATTATAAAAAAATTAATATAAATTAAGTATAAGTAGTATATGTATTCTAAATTTTGAGATTGCTAATCAATTAGACATTTTAGAATAATTAAATTCAAATTTCACATAACTAAAAATAAAATAATGAAAT